TCTGACTCGCCAAGGGCGCCTGTGTTCGGAGTATCATAATAGAGTTTTTGTCATTAATATGGATTCTTCAGTGGCTGTAGTGCCCATATACTTAACCCAGAGAATAAAGAAACTTTAATGCCATCGCATCAAAGATAACATTCTGAGGTAAATCAAACACTATTAATCTATACATAGGGCATGCCCTTCACTATACCATTTTGGTTGATAGGAAAATACAGCTGCAGTAGCCACACTTCAACCCATAGAGGACAGCCTTATCTCAGATTTTAGCTCGAAATTTGTAGAATTAATAACGGTTACAAAAAAATTTCAATATTTGCACAGTAACCTAAAAAGATAGCGCCCCTAAATTTTTGTTTATAATTTGGGGTTTAATCGCACTGGCATATCTTCTGCTTTATTGTGGACTGGGTCACAGTGGCCTACAGTCTTGGTAGAGACTACCAAACTTCTCTCTCTGCAGACACCTCTCTGCAGCCTTAGGCGCTCCCAGGCCAACCTATAGCAGCAGCCACACCGTCTATCAATCTACTGCTCCATTCTCCCCCCTTTGTGAACAGTTACTTGCACTACTCCACTTGAGAAAGGAGCTCTCCTTCAATCTGAAGGGGACAAGCCTCCTTCTTCCAGTCCAGAACCATGTCATCAAACTTAGAGGAGTTGATTTGGCTGCAAACCGCCCCAACGCATGGTCTTGCCATCCCCCTTCTTAAAAAAATCTTAAAAATCATCCTTCTTCTTAAATGACCATTCCCTCATAACATCCCCTGTGACATTTTATCGCGAGAATGTGCAAATTTCTATTATATATTAACAGTAAGAGCAATAATATTGCCCTTCCAAAATTTGGCAGGCTGTACACTTACAAGTATTTCACAGCCTGCTGTTCTGAACATTATTACAGCCAAGCGGCAAAGACAATGCTATTGGAGGGAATGTGAAAATAAGGAGGGGAGGGAATCTTCCACAGGTTCCAGGTTCTAAATTGTAGAGATCTCCTTCCCCTGCTTAGTTTGAGAGATAATGTGTTTAAAATTATGCAAGTTTCTCCACATAATCAAACCTCTTCTTGTGGTATTAAATTTCATAAGTCTGGGACAATAAATGTGAAAATAAGGAGGGGAGGGAGTCTTTGGCAGGTTCCAGGTTTTCTAAGTTAAACAAATTAAGTGTCAGAAATTATCTTTAAAGGTGTTGTTAGCAAAATCTGGAATTGGCATCCGCTAAGCAGAGGTATCCATCGCACACTGACAGTAGCATATCGACTGAAACGTGTCTCCATACAGTAAAATCCTATTAAATCCAATTTATCTGTCCATCAAAACTATCAATTTTAAGGCATCCCTATAAAAGAAATATGAAAACATTAGGAATTTGTTTAAAATTTCCCTTTTTCGTTCATATTTCAATCCGTTTTCTCATCAATGGGGGAGAGTTTAGGGGAAAACGAGCTCCCGCGACAGGGGAGGTAATTCTCAGCTTTCAGGTAATTCTCTGCACAATAGATAAAACCCGGAGGAAAGAATCGAAGGTTTGAAAAATGCATTTTAAATGCATGTTAAGATTATTATCTTGAAAGAAATGCCAATTGTGATATTAAGGGTCAGGGCAATGGTCATAAATGAATTGAATGTTGACATCTTAGACTTAGACAGATTTTTTTTGTGATTTTGTATACATAAGTGTATACAAAAATAAATTTAGTTTAAAACAGCTCTAGACAATTTCATTTTTTAAAGTGCAGCCTTCATCTGACATCTGACTGCAAGGTCCACATGTGACTTGCAGAATGTCTGTCACCCGATCAATGATAAATAGCTTAGTTCGACAGACCTGTTAGAATAGTTTTGACTCATTCATTGCCAGCATGTAGCCTATAAGCTTTAAATGAATATTTAAAAGCTGAGTAAAAATATTAGATTCTATATAGGCTTACGGTATTTCATTTTCAGGCTAATTCTAATGTATTTTCATTTGTAAGGAGTTTTTTCAGATTTTTTTTTTTAAATCATTTCAGCTGTTTCAATTTAATTGAATTTAAAAAAAAAAAACTTGACTTGAAAGGATTCAGATATTCATTTGCAGTATTTTTTGAGGTTTTGTTGCAAATCTTAATGGATTCATTTCCATAAGATTTTCGTAAGTAAAATCAAAGAAGTGGCCTACCATGACTATGAAAGCTGATCCCAATGGAACAATGATCTCTGCATTAGTGCCCAACTATCTAGGGGCAGTAATAGCCATGCCAGTACAGGAACTGACTAAAATTCTACTGAAAGGTGCCTTGGTCAAGGTCAATGACCGATGTACCTGACATGTAACAAAAATACCATGCATATTGCTTTAGGTTAATAGAATATATTAATTACGGTAGGCTATGTATCCTAAATAAAAGAAATAAAAAGAAAAATTACACCATCCCCCTTCTTTTATTCTTACAGCTCGACTACTGACAGCACATGCTAAAATAGTCTTTTATTCCTCATTTAATTTCACTTTTTTTAAGTTGAGTTTGACATTTTTTATGTATTTTTCTTAAAGATAAACCTTTTCTACTCTTTCAGTTTTAAATTTAATCTTGATCATTTCTGTTACCAACATTATGCTGGTTCTGTTCTCCTTTTTTTTCTTCCTTTCTGTTATGAAGTTGCTGTATTGTTTGGAAGCAGATCTCCATTATCGTTAGTAAGATGGGTACAGCATCAGTTCCTGCAGGTCTGTCCCTCCAAATGTTCCTTATCCAAAGGGAGTTAGTGACACGGTGACACGAGTCTGCAGGTGGAAACCCTCGCTGAGACGAACAAAGAGTGACAGAAGCATAAAGGGGGCAGGAGAAGTCGCGCTGAAAAGTACAGTGATGTTCTAGTCATTTATCTCAGCGGTGGCACCATGTTTCTGTATGTTTTCCCCTTGTTACTTCTCTGTTTCCCCATCTCAGCAGACCTCTTTCTTTCCAGCAGGTGTCCTTTAAACCTTTTCACCTTTAAAAAAAAAAAAAAAAAAAACTGCCTTCATCTCCAAACCCTCCTACCTTCCCTCTCTCCCCCTCCCGGTTGCTAAACACGTTATTAAAACTTGATATGAAGCTGATTAGAGGTGGTTTGCTTGCTCTTTATTGCGTTTCATCCTCCTCTCCCACACTGACTGAAACAGGGAATCAAGTGTGATGCTGGGGAGCAAGGGAAGCAGGAAAAGGCAAACAGTGCGAGCACATGGAGACCTGGAGTGGGAGATAGTGGAGTCACACTTTCCATTCACCTGCTGCTCTTTGCTCAGTTCCTTTCTGATGGCCTGCATCCGTATACTCGCGTTGTGGTTCACTTATTGCTACTTAAATATTCTCCTCCCTTCTCACCTTCTCTGCCACTTTCTGCAGGATTCTCACCCCTCGTCCTCCTTCTCCCGTTGTCTTTTTGCAAGTTCTATTCCTCCATCACCATCTCACTTTCTTTGCACCTCACATTTTGTCGGCATAAAGGGCTGGAAAGTGTTTCAGAAACAGTTATTTTCCTGGGAATAGTGGTGGAAAGAAAAACTTGGGTTTTAAGTTTGTCGGAGTTTTCCACCCCTTGTTCTTTCCTCCTTGAGCCGGTCGACTGTACTTTAACAGAGCCATATTGTTGTTATTACCATCGTCCCTAACCGAATCAGTTACCATTAGACCTGGATCTTTCTCCTTGTGAGGCCCATAGACCAGCTCTCTAACCCAATAGAAAACCCATGGGCGCTATAACAGATGGCCGCCCAGTTTCACGAGGCACAAACACACAGATTTCATTCTGAAGATTCATTGGCCTAATCCCATCACACACTCAGACATTAACTCATGCACTTATATACACATATGCTGGGGACTTTATCAAATACAGACACATAGAGGCATAAACATGCTCCCATTGAAAATCCTTTATTGGAGCTCATTGAGTAAATGGTTATACTATTGGGGCATGACGGGGGCGCTGATCTGCGTGTGTGGCTGTCATTACAGTTGGATGTATGAGACGGACCAAAGCAGAGAGGACAGATGTCATTGTGTCAATAAGGTTATCTCTAATGGATGGATGTTTAGGGTTCTGCCCTCCATTCACTCAGCTCTGCTTAAACCAGAGCCTCTTATAGTAAAATCAAGCAATAAAAGTGCTCATGTTTTATTTTGTTTAGTTTATGGGGTTTTGATATTCATGTTTAGCTTGGAATTTATTTTCAGAAGTTATTAGTCTGCATATTTTCTTAGAAATCCAGTTTTTTTATCGAACTTATTTGCCTCCTTTTGAAATGTGTGTTACACTTGTGATTCCTTTCTTTAGGTGAAAACAAGGCAAAGAAAATGATTTAAAACACGTTAAAATAAACATTTGATAGGTATTTTGTTCTAACTGAAGCAAATTGGGTGCTACGTTTCATTTATTTGTATAAATGTATTTTTAAAAGCTAAGCATTTGAATTATTTATGGCATTTACTTTTATTTTTTATCTTAATGTTTTTAAATAGCTTTATATACTTTAGCCTAAAGAGTCCCTGATGTAAAAAAAAAAAAAAAAAAATTTATTGTTTTAGTTTATTTGAATGCTAAAAAAGGTTTTTGACAAGGATATCATAAATTATTTTTGTTTAAATCACATGTTACTTTATCTACATTGTTTAATTCAAAAGCTTTCTACAAAGCTATCTCAAATAGTTTGTTCTTTATAAAATGAATAATTAAAGTTTTTGTTAGACCCTCATTACTATTTTTTAAGGTTTTTCTTTAATATCCAAGATCCTGAATGGTTTAAATATTCCCTTTGGAAATTATTACATTTTAGGTAATCATGTGTAACTTATGTGATGGTCCAAGTTATATTCTGTAAATTTTAAGTGCCATTAAATACTGTATGTGACACTTATTCTATTATTACCAAAAAATATTTCCTGTGCAATAAAACAAAAAAATGTCAGGAGGGAAAAGAAATACCATTTTAATTTTGGTAAAGTTTGGCCTTAACTCTGACCTCAGCTATGAGGAGCGAGCCCGCTATCTGGAAACAATTGTGCAGCACCACCAGGAGCCGACCACTTTTGAGGATTACGCTGCCCGGGTCTACAGTCCTGCACCCTACACTCACCTGCCTTCTGACACAGGTAAGACCAGAAACATTTTTAACCCTCCACAGGATCCTCCTCATTATATTTGGATTATAAAACTGCTTGGTTTTGCTACAGGAATTCTACTCATAACAGTGGATAATTAATTTCCCTAATATATAGAGAATCCTCTTCACTCAGCCTGGCAGCTCAGTCTGCTTTCCAGACACAGTTTTCTATTCAAAGCTGTGTTCAGCCTTATTCTCTCTCCAGAGCATCACTGGGGAGTTAGGCAGCATCTGATGGGTAATAGATGTGCCAGCCAAACACATGGGAATCATATGTGTGCCTCTTATAATGATCATTACTCTGATTGAACCACAGAGAACAATCTAAGTATTTTATCTTGGGAGTCATGCTTAGTTGTGATTATTTAAAATAACAAAAATTTCAACGGCTTCTGCAGGAATAACATTCATTAAACCAAAGAAAGCATCTTGAAGCAGAACAATTTTGCTTTTTTTAAATGTAGTAAATCTAAAGTGATATCATGGAAAAGGTGTGATTATTTGGGTTTTATTTTTCTCTAAATACTTTCCTGCTCCCTCATTTTACTTGCTCTTTAAAAACATCAATATATTATACAAAAATCATCCTAATCACAACTTGCTTTGATGCTGAATTACATCTGACGTAACCCGATTCACCTGCACCAACCCCTGCCCGTAAATTAGTGCACTATAATACGTCAGATGTAATTAGCTCTGTGTTGGTACTTTGTGTCCAGCTCCAGTTGGAAACTTCAAGGCACAAGATCAGAAAGTTAAGATTTAAATTTTGGCGTAAGCCCAAATATTTCTCCAAATTCATAATGAAATCTGGACATTAAAGGTCCTGTGCTTTGAAATTGATGCTTTGACTTTCTGTCTTTTTTATATGCATTGCCCCTTACCTTAACAGTACAGTGATGACTTTCTCTTTTTCTGGTTTTGTTTATTTGTTTTTTTTTATAATTTATTTTTTTATTTCTACCATTTCTATTTTTTTTTTTTTTTTTTTGTTCTTACTTTTTATTTTCGTTTTATTTTCTTTTTTTTTTCTGTTCCCCTCTTTCCTTTAGATCGTTTTGTCTCACTGTATAGCTAAAAGGTAAGCCTGGTTACATGATTGAAACACTTTTCTTTGATTGGCTCTTACTTTTCAGCCTAACTTTCTCTCTCCTTCGATTCCTCCACCATATTCTGTCTTTGTGGTTCCTGTGTGGTTTTGAAATCCAACCAGGTCTGCATGTTAACACAAGTGGCCTATTTTTATTTTTTAAGGAGATGTCACTTTCTGCTCCTCATGTAGTTTGATAAGACCGTAACTTCTGAATGCTCCCCTGTTTTTTCTTAAAGCTTGCTTCATTAATTTGGACCCAAACTTAATTCACCTGAGGGATATCAAACTGCTCTGAAATGAAAGTGAGACTTCCTTCTGTAAAAATGAGACGTTTTGAGCTCTCCTCTGTTCACCTCCTTGGTATTTTCATAACCTGAAGCATTATTCTGACCTGGTCTAACCTGACCTCTAACCTTGCTGTTTCAAATCGTCCTAGTTTTTATATGATGCTAAACTGCTCGCTTACACAAACAAGCAGGCTTCAATACAAAACGACCTATCCTGCAATCGTATATAAGCTGTCTTGAATGTACTAACATTAAACTGATCTTGTCTAACTTGTAGTATTTGTGTAAATTGTAAAAAAAAAAAAAAAAAAAAGGTTATTTTCTTTTTATTGTAAAAAGGTTAGTTGATTTTGTTTTGTTCTTTTTTGGATGTTTTCAGATTCTCTTCGTCATATAGGTGCCTCTTTCTCATTCATTTGTGTGTGTTTTCTTTTTTCCCCCTTTCAAACTCTTTTGTCTTCCTTGTTTTACCCACTCCTTTATTTCCCTACCTTTTGTCGCTTTTTTTGCCTTTGTTTCATTTTTCTTCCTTCCACATTGTGATCCATACCTGTTATTTGCTTTTCTTCCCAATTTTGACACCGCCTTTCCTTTCCTTTGCCTTTCTCCCTCTCTTTACCTTTCACATCTAATTTTGTCCTCTGCTCCTGTTTTTTTGAACTGTCCTCTTCTTCTCTGGCTTTATTTAACCTTACATTACTTAATTACAAATTCACTTTAACATACCTGACCTTTCTTGAGTTTACTTTCCCTTATATTTCCTCTACTTTTCTTTATTCCATTTCCTTCACTCAACTATAACTTGAATTCCTATTTTAAATGATATTTATGTTCCCCATCTTCACTTTTCTTTACTTCCCTTTCCTGTCGGTTTTCCTCTTTTCTTTTTGCTCCCTCATTTGTCGTTACCACTCTCCTCTTCAGAGGATCATAGTGTTTTGTATCTTATGGTCCCTAAACCCGTTGACAGCTTAAACCAGCTCAGGGTGAAGGGCCGAGGTTTAAAGCAGAAGGTCCTTCATGCAGGCTGTGAATGGTATGAATTGTCGTCTTGTAGCATTTCTTGCTTTTTTTATGCTGTTACCTTTCCACTAAACCCCATAAACTGCAACAGATTTTGTTTTATAAGTTGAATATGTCTTTATTAAATGTTAAAAATACATCTGACTAATCTAGCTATTAGCGTGTTCTTTGGATTTAGGGAACAAAGATACAGGATGATGTTTGAGCGTCTAGAGCCTTTTGTAGAAGTTTGATGTTTGTCTTTCCGTGTAGCTGTCTGTCCTCTTTGGGATTCTGTCAGACGTAGTTCGCCGTAGTTTACCTTTAATAGATAAGAAGCAGTTTTTCATGTTGTCCCCTTATCCTTTTTCTGCTTATCCACCCACCTTTGCATCAAATTCCGTCCCCCCCTCTTTCTCCTCCAACTCTTCAGGCTCCTGCCTAGAGATTCTTCGGGGAGAAAGTCCGGCTCTTGGGGAGGTCGGGAGCGAGTCGGCGTCCCCCATATCTCCACGAACTAGCAAGACTCGCATGTCGATGAAGCTCCGACGGTCCTCTGGATCCGCCAATAAGACTTGAGTTTCTTCACTTTAAACACTTCCTAATCACTGATATCACTTAAATTAAAACGTTTAATTTCACATCTCATATCCATCAGGGGGTGGACAAAAGGCTATTTTTCTGCCCGGCTCCTGCACTGAACACACACATGCAAATATACATCTGATATGCTCCCACTGTATGAATCTGCAGCTTTGCTTTAAAAAAAAAAAAAAACACTCATCCCAGTGCTGCTGAAAGCGTTGAATGATAGCCTGTGCAGTATTAGTTCATACCAACATGTGCCATGTGGAAAGGTGAGCAAAGAAACACCTGTGGAACCAGGACTGCAAAACCATTTAAAAAATAAAGTGTGCTACATCATACACTGTGTTAAAGAGGATTTTTTTGGTTTATAAAACCAGAACAAATGTCAGGGAAAAATATTTTTTGTTGAATACAGACCTATCTGTGGAAGTTAAAATGGTTCACAAATCCCTTTTTCCTGTTTTATTCCACCTTGCCCCTTCAAATACGAAATTTTTAAATTCAGAAATGTCTTAGGAGGCACTTTGAAAGCTTACTTGTTTGTAGGTCATGCTGTCAACTTTAGACAAGCACTGATATTACATTTTTTTCTCTTGTTTTTTTTAAATTGTGATTTCACTTGAACTAAATTTCCATATGCTGTATTTCTATTTTTCCCTCCAAAAACACCATTGCTTTTTTTTCTGTATGTATGCTTTTGATTATAAATGTGTATTCTGTATATCTATACAAGTATATATATATCTATATATATCGAGAGAGAGATTAGATACATGGATATCTATGAGAGTATGTACAGTGTGACGAAGCTTGTTGTGTAAATAAGATTTTGAGAAAAGCTGCCAAAGCCAAACCTGTGGTTTAACCTCAAAGCATGTGTTTGCTATAAATACAAACATAGGTCAACACTACGAATGTTTAACTTTAATATAAACTTTTCATTCATCAGTTGGAAATTTAGAGATGATTCCCTTAGCTCAAAACTCTGGTTAAACTTTCTTTACTCAGAATTCAACCTATTCTCATTCTAGCCACAAATGTGGGCTTTTAAGATTTTTGAAATCCAGTGTTTCACTTGCTATTAAATGGGTCATTTTTTCTGGTGGAGCTGTTCCATCAGAAAATTTAGAAACGGAAACAAAAAATCAGGTTGCAGCAGATTGACAAAGAGTAGAAGGGAAAAGTCAATTTAGACTCTTTACTCTTCAGCAATATGCTCTCAGTTTAGAGATATTTCCCTTCCCATATCCATTGTCAAAGGGAATGTATTTCATTTTGGATAAATGCCATTCTTTCACGAGTTGAGATCAATCCTTTGTGTTTAAGAAATAAGTGCTAGCCATTTAAATTATTGCTTCAGGTTTCAAAGCACAGTTTATTGTTAAGGTGTGTAGAAAACTCATCTCAATGCTCTGGCACAGCACTCATCTTTCATAATGCCAATCATGCAAATCTATGTGATAATTAACTTTTTTGTGATCAGTTACAATAATTCACAGTTTAAACCCTAACGATGTTACATTTGTTGTCAGATAAGAAAGTTTTATTTTTTTTTTCCTTCATTAACATCTGCAGCATAATTAGCAATGTAGGCTCTGGATGTCCAAAATGTTGGCTGGTGTTTGTAACTACTGATGTGAAAAAAAAAATATGCATTTCAGCACTAACTGCATGTAAGCAACAGACACATGCTTTGAAACAAACTTGTTGAAAGTGTAACTGTATCTTCAAAACAACCACAAATTTAAAAAAGTATCAATGTGCAACAATGGACTTAAACAATAAAGGATTTGTACCTGTGATGCCCCAATGTTTATTAATATGACAAAACCATGATCATAATAGTTTATTGGTTGATAGTAGAATCAATTACACATTGAACATAGAACATATTAAAATAGACCTATACATAGTTCTAGGAGATGCAGTTGTATTTTTAACTGCATAGACATTTTACTGACATGAATTCTGTTGCGAAATGTTTTGTTTCTGTATGAAAATAGCATAGAACTAATACATTATCAAAACAGTACCTTCATTTTTTAAATATACTTCAAAGGGAATTGAATCAGGTTGATTCAAATTCACACAGGTTTACTTGTGAGTACCATGGACAGCGACGCTGACTCCATTATAATCTCTTCATGAACATTTTTAGAGTTTATTGTTATTACAGAAAGGTTTGTTTTGTATTTAGCAGATACAAATATTTTTTTTTTTTTTATTAAAGGCACAGTGACACAGTTCAGTCCTAATCCACAACGAAAAAAAATCTACATTTAGGTCTAGAGTCCTGTCATTAATAAGTGATCAGTATTTTATGGTCGTACTGTCATCTGCAGCAGCATCACCTGCCGGTTCTCGGTGGGGTGAGACTTGTTGATGTGTCTCGTGAGCCCCGGGGAGCTGAAAAATGTAGACGGACAGTACTTGCACGTGAAGATCTGTTGCTGCTCGCGCTCTCCGCCGCTGCCCTCCTCTCTGTGTGCGTGGAAACCATCTGCTGCCAGCGCTCCGCCGAGTGTTTCTGCCAGAAGCTCGTCCCTCATCGCGTGCCACACTCGGTGCTTGTCCCGGATTTCCACTGAAGGAAACCGCGCGCCGCACAGGTGACACAGGAACACCTGAGCGCTCTGGACACTGCCGTTGTCGCGCGCTTGGGTGTAGGACGGTGTTGGTGAAGCGCGCGCGGTCATCTCATGCGCTGCCAGATGCTTTTTCAGATAAGCCTGCCGACGGAACTTCTTTCCGCAGTAGCGGCACTCGTATAATTCTTCCTCCGGTATGGACCGGACGAAGGTTAACGGCGGCTGCTGGTGCTGCTGCTCCCCGGGGTTCAGCATTAGGAGTCCGGATGGAGGGCTATCTGCGGCTCTCACGTGCTGCTGAAGGTCTGGGTTCCGGTAGTTAGAGGAGGAGGAATCGGCGCTGTCCCGGGTCCTACCGTGAAGCAGCAGCACCCGGGAGCTGTCCAGGTGCTGATTAGTGTGCGCGCGAAGCAGCTCATTCTCCTTCCCCTCCAAGTCCACCGACTGCCGCTCGTGCGCAGCGAATACTCGCCCCTCCTTCAGCGTCTGGGTCCGGTTCGTGTGACCTTCTGCCCCCTGGTTGTTCACCGGACGTGGTTTGTGCCAGCGCCTGTGGGAGGCCAGGTTAGCGGGACAGCTGAAGACTTTGTCGCATTCGGGGCAGCGGTACTCTACGCGCACTATGCGGGAGCATTTGTGCTGCGCCAGGGAGAAAGGATCGGGGTACTCCTCTTTACAGAGCTGGCAGATGAACTCTCCAAGCGGCTGAGTTCCGGTGGGAGCAGACCTCCTCAGCTCCGGACTCTCCTTCTTAATGCGCAGACCTAGAACCGGCGAAGTGGTTACCTCATCCTCGAAGTTCTGTCTGCGGTTTGGTTTGGGTTTCTTGCCCTGCTTGCTGCTGAGTTTGTTCTGGTTATCCGGCTCAAGATACGAGCGCTTTCTCGCTGCGTGCTCCTGCCCCATCCGGGTCAAAGATGGAAACAGGTGTGCATGAGCCAGATTCGGGTCGTTTTTGTCAATGTGTCTATAGAGCCGGTTGCTGCTGGTCCCGTTCGCCAGGAGCCTCTCGATGGAAGCGGGGACGGAGGTCGGAGCAGCGCTCACCAGGAACGGTAGGTCCGGCAGCTCAGGCACCGAGGAGCACAGCTGCTGTTCGGTCTCCACCTGCTGGTCCAACAGTCTTGTTCCGACCGGTTTGACTGGACTGCAGGACTTTAGAGTCTGCTCATGTGGGGGTGGATGTTGGTAGAAATAGGAGTAGTTCCCTTCCACGTTCAAAACCTCCACTTCGGTCTCCGGTAACTGCGCGCGGCGGTCAGCCTCCGCCTCCAGCGCGGGCTCCACGTGGGGGCTCCACGCCTCCCTGGCCGGATCCTCGCGGGCCTCCGGTGATGCTCCGTCGGGATGCTGGACATGGAGTCCCATTGAGCCATGGTTCTCGGCGCCGTTTGGGTCACAGTTGGATGATTCGGGTTTGGCGGTGCCGTCGCCTCTGGAGCGGTAAGTTGCTGAACCTCGACGGTTCCTCTTTACCAAAAATCCTCGAGGCATCGTGATGATGGTGAAGATGTTGGGGACAACTCGCGTCTGGAGACAGATTTTTGAAGCGCAGCTTTAAAGTGGAGAGGGGGGGATGGAAAGGCGCGCGCAGGTTGGATGAGCGCACGGAAGAGAGCGAGAAAGCAATATTTGTTTTTCTGTCTCTAATTAGTTCAAACTCTGGGGACGACATATTTCCAGGCTTTGACACTGAAGCATTCATCAAAGCAATTTTACAGCTTCACTCAACGTATAAAGTTGTTTAAATAAACCAAAACGAGTTTTTTTTTTTCAGCCAATTATTGCCTTTTGGATTATTTTCTAGAAATACATTTTTATATATGAACTGTTCAGAGGTGAACTACACACTTAAAATTCATATTAAGTAGAGTATCATGGATATGTTTAGTTTTACTGTACAATAAAAGTCAGACTTAAATATTGATTCATACCGTCAACATTCCAATCGTCTATATTCTGATCAATGAGATGGACACAGCTAAAAGCCAAATAAAACTAAATATTTATGTTACACAAGACTAATAATGAGTGCTTTAAAGATGTCCCCTAAAGCAGTGTAATGTGATAGTAGATAGACTTGGTATTGAATATTTAGAGTTAGATTGAGCTTAGATCAGCTTAGATGCCTGTACATGTTTGTATTTAATCAAAGTAAATCTACACCAGGACTCTTCAAGTACTTCATGACTATTGTAAATGTTTGTTCAGAACCTTATAAGTCTGAATTTCTGTCTTTACACTTCCCCAACATATTGTTGGGAAAGTGGTTTTCCATAATATAAATTTACTCCTAAAATAACTTTACAGCCTATAAATATCTGTAAGTTCTGCATTTTGAGGCACCAACTTCTGCATCATAACCTCTAAATCCTCTCAAACTGCATATTCCTGTTAATTTGTCCCTTTTTTGTCATTTTTTAGTGTCACTCAAATTTCTTTTAATGTGCTTAGATATAGTATTTCTAAACAGTCAGATCGCTTAGCTATGTCTATACCTCATGTTGCACCTTCTCCATTTCAAAAATGTCAACAACTTCTTCTAGACTGAGGTCAAGTTAACAGGATTATCAATGATTAATGGCCATATAATTTGTAAACCGCATTTTCTATTGCTTATTTCGTTTTTATTTGTTTATTTTAGAACATGATTTTATTTTAATGTACTGGTCATCATTACCATTAAACAACGGCAAATAATCTATAGGATGAGTATCCCCCACCACCAAAAAAAGGGGGAGAAAACGTAAGTCTAAAATAATATATATATTTTTTTTTTTTTTTTGGGAAAACAACAAAATATAAGATAGAAAAATATTTCCTGGGGGCGATGTTTTGTAGGGTTATTTTAAGGGTTTTGATTTTGTATGTGTAGTTTATTTTGCTACATTTTGTGTTTTCCTTGACCAAACGTCAAATTACTGTAAAGAACCCGTTTTTTCTGATTTAGTATTTAAACTGAAAATAATAGAAAATAAAGGAAATAGTTTTTTTATGTTTTGTTATTTTTTCCCTGCAGATCTCAGTCATACACCCACTTTTCTATTCGCTGTGTTTTCTTGATTACTTCTTTTCTCTGAGTGTTTTATGACTATGCTGGGTGCATTTTGCCAGTCTTACTAATTAGGAGTTTCTCCATGGGTTTGGGTATAGCCTACCTGCCACCTACCAAGAGAAAAACCAGAACCATTTCGTCGTGGGTTTCAGTGTGCAAAGAGAAACTGCACCCATGGGGATTCGGATCCAGATCGTATCTCTTTTAATACCACTAATAACCGTTTCTGAGCCGCTGATGTGTGAGAAGACCGTGGGCATTGCTTTTCTCTTCAATGGGTCCCATGAGAATCTGCTGTAGCTGATAACAGATCGGAAAGAGACCCATGCTTCTGTCAAAGCTTGAGCCCTTCGGAACATGCGGGGCCCTTGTGCGGAGTCCCTAGCCAGGAGCTTTGCAACCCAACTACACGGGTTCTGTGCCTGGAAAAGGGGCGACAACTGTGGGCCGCAGCTTTCATTAGTGTTTTATGATACTTCATTAATAGAAGCTATTGCTGTACATTATTCTGATGCAGATTGTATAATATTCAAATTGTGCTTTTGTGCTCTAAGGCAGGGGCAGATAGAGGGGTGGCCACAGGGGGGCATGCACCTGGACATCTGGCACTTCATGCAGCGTTTTGCCGCAGGAGTCCTCGCTGAGGCTCATTGGCTCTAAGTTCCACAGAAATGCATAACTCTGCAGTCATTGGTTGCATCCTATGGACAAGAAGCTGAGTACAGGGAGCTGGTGAACTGCTTTGTGGCATGGTGTGGAAACAATCATCTGATCCTAAATGTTAACCAAACAAGGGAGATGATTGTAAATTTCAGAAGAAACAGGAACAAGTTGAGACCAATAGACAATATTTATGTAGACATCTCATTGGACGGGGTCTGCCTATGCTGTGAATGAGTCAGAGGGACCGCCTTGTTGAATGTGGCAAATCTGCTAATTGACTCAGACAATTAAACAGTATCAGAGGGACTTTAATCTCAGAATATACTTTATATTCATGATATTTTTATATTTGTATCCCTTTGGCTTCATTCTCCTGACTTTATTCTTATAAAGAATAGAAATAATTAAAAGAATCTAACCTGGCCCTATTACTCCATGACTGGAATAGTTCTGCAATCTGCAACTATTCTGAAAATGTTGTCCCTTAATTTTCA